TGTTAAGACACTCTCCCATTGCCTAGGCAATATAGGAACCTCTGATTCTTTATTCCACTCATTTCTTAGCATCGACATATCAAATTGGTTTATTGATAAAAAATATCTATAAAAACTAATACTAAGTTTTAGTTTAAAAGGATTTAACAAATTGTTCTAGTATCTCAGGTGTCTCAGAAGCTGAAAATACTGCTGTTCCAAACAATGTTGTTAACACATGTGACTGTAAATATTGCCATTGGGTTACATCTGATAGATAGTATTTATCTCTTAACGCCACTTACGTTAAAAATTCATCTTCATTGTCTGTTAGTTGGTCCAAAGTCAATATCCCTGCCTCCATCCCATTTTTCCATATCACCATCTTTTTCCCAATTTTTAAAGTTGGGTTTCCCCATAATGTCAATTTAGCATGGGAAAAAAGGTCGAATCTTTTTTTATGAGACATTATATTCCATAACTTTCTAACTGATGTAATTGTTTTCAGAGATACTAGTTTTAGAGTATTTAGATCCTAATACTGTCCATCCAAACAAAGGTGCTATATATGTATATTCCAATTGCCCAGATCGGAAAATTAACATCAAATGTTGGCTTCCAGTATTTAATACTTGATAGTAGGTAAGCTACTAAGATGATATAGCTCCAGATTTGGAAAACCAAATCCTCCCTTATTAATTGGTGAGTGCATTTTCTGTAAAGATATTCTCAGAATCGAAGAACCCCATAGAAATTTTCTAAACAAAGAATTTCTTTTCTGAAAATGTTTTCCAGATATATGAACTGAAATTCTTCTCAGAATATAAATTAAACTAGGAATAATATTCATTTTTAGAGAGTTCACCTTTCCACAAAAGGTGTTGTTTAATGACTCCCATCTATCGATATCTGAAGAAACCTCTCCCTATATTTTATTTATATTACATGCTACTGAATTATATCTTTTGGTATACACATACCAAAATATTTAATGGATTTGGTACAAATACAGAATTGATATTCCTTAAATGGATGGGTAACCAAATTTTCACCTATTTCTAGTGATTTATGCTAAGGGTATCTGAAGAGTAATAAGTTCCCATGTGATATGATATGGATGTTAAGATCCAATTTGTTGACTGGATTTAATTTGCTTTGTAATCTTACAGAGATTTGTCTGATAATTTTATTTTTATTATTTGGTTGAAAAATGTGTGCGTGTGCGTACACACATACAGATGCACATATTTACAGTATTTAAGAGTAATTCTTTGATTCTTTTTCTTCGGCTTTTTAAAATCTTTGTTTCAATAGGAACAAAGAAAGGCATTACTAGAGAAAAAGGCAATGGAAGAAGAAATTGCTCAGACAGTTAAGAAATTTTCTGCTGCTGCTGCATCTTCAGAACCTGCCATTCCTCAAGAGGCGTCCAAACGAAAACGCCCATTTGGGGCATCAATTTCATCTGCACACATAGACTATGAATTTTGTGAAGTGGGGACAGGCCAGGTAGGATATATGTAAAGTAAATGAATACATTTTGTTTCTTACTGGTATAACTGTCTCCTTTTAGAACACAGTATTTTCTGTATAGCCTATGCAATTACAGATAAGGAATTGTATATTGGTTCAGAGAATAAAGTGAAGACTTTATTTCTCAGATGCTAGAGTACAGATGATGATAATGTGCACGTTATGGTATGTTATAAACCTTCTCATTGAGGATCAATTCCACATAGAACTGTTTCAATGAAAGGCATTTTCCTGTTTCCAAAATAAACATTGCTATGTCTAGTCTGGGGATACATGTAATAGACTGAAAGTGAAGTGGCTGACATACAAAGAGGTTATTATTTCTTTTTTATTATTATTACTTTCTGCCTTGTAGGTATCGGTGGTATACAGCACACTTGAGTTTGAGCCAGAGATTTTCTTTGCTTTGGGTTCTCCAATTGGTGTATTTCTCACTGTAAGAGGAGTGGAAAAAATTGATGAAAGCTACAGGCTGCCAACCTGCAAGGGATTTTTTAACATATATCATCCGGTTAGTGAGAAGCACAGGTTTTCAATTACTTTTAGTGAAAGTAATATTGTATCTTACCTATTTAAATTCTAAATACACCTTTTTAAAAACTAAGAAAACCAATTAGTATGGCATTAATTTCTGATACATTTTTAGTTATTGATACCAAAGATGCATTGTCTGTTTAGGATTTTTTTTTTTTAAATCCACATTCAGTCGTTACCGATTCTGCGGCAACTGCCTGGATGAGTCCCTGCAGTTTTCAAGGCAAGGTGTTTCGGAAGTCATTTGCCATTGCCTCCTTCCTAGAGCAGAGCCCAGCTGGTGAGCGCAGGAGGTGGGGTTTCCATTGCTTC